CAGGAGAATGGTTTAAATGGAATAAGGCAACTTGAGGTCCAATTACAATGAGAACCTTAGAAATTCGTGGAATTCAAAACTGCAAATAAGGGCAGGTATTTAGATAACAAGGCCTGTTTTGAGATAGGACATTTAGCTTATATGAGTTGTAGGTTGTCTGTATCACCTACATTCTTTCTTCCCCTTCCTCACCAAAAAAAAAGTATTTCTGTATGGTCAGTATTTAAATAATTGGGTTCCATATGGGGGCATTTTGTAGGGGTCACAAATACCCCAGATTACTGATTTAAATAAAACTTTGGTCAAATCTTGTTTTTTCAGTAGGCACACTAGAGAACAGCCATGGTTAGTCCCCCACTGGAACCTGGGATGGGCCCACATACGTATAAACAAATGTACACTTGCTTGGTAAAGGTAACATCTTAAACTCTTGTTAGACCTCTGAGGTAGTCACACAAATGGGATTGCCCTTCCCTTCCATGGGTTGCTGGTTACGTTAAAGCCTCAGTCCTTAGGTCTAGTCCTCTACCGGGGCTCAACCTAGTTGTAGGTTCCATTTCTCACTTGAGCTCCCTGGAGATTTTAGACCTGAAACTTACTCTCTGAAATGGAATAGGTTTGTGAAGTTCATTGCTTCTTGGATCCGAAGGCCTTTGTCTCTTCTAGAGATTAAAATGCTTTACTCTTTTTTTCATCTCCAGTTTTTATGAATGGCTTTAAAAACGTTGGGTTCCCTGCTTCTGTTCTTGTCACCTATAATCGGGTGGTTCTCCATGCAGCCAGAAGGATCTGGTTTCCCACGTGAATCACATCATGTCACTCTTTGCCTTTGGCCCTCCCTTTAAACTTACAGTAAACCCATGTTGGCATCCTGGTCTGCGAGGCCCTGCATGAGATGGCTGCAGCCTTCCTCTCTGGCTTCATTTCCTGCCTCGCTTCCTCCCCCCTCAGCCATGCTCGCCTCTTTCTATTCATTGGCTTTCTAGGCTTGTCTGGCCCCAAGCGCTTGCTTTTGCTGACCCTTGGGGCCACAGTGCTATCCCTGCAGATCTTCACGGGGCTGGCTCCTTCCTCTCATCACGGTCCCAGCTTGTGTGTCACCTCCTCAAATGCTTTCCCCACTGCCCTACCTACCCTAACCCCTCCTCACCGCTCTACCCCTATCATTGTCACATTTCTTCAGGCCCTGTCAGCTGCTCTTACTTGTTTACATTTTCTCCCCCACCTACTTGGAAACATCCTTAGATAGAATCTGTTGGTGTCTGTTTCCCACACACCTGGAACAGTGCCTGGCACTGAGTGGCATTTGGCAAATTATTGGCAAAAACTGGATGAATGACAACATGGAGCTGCCATTAGGAGGTAACCTGTTTTCCTTTTGCAGTGTTGATGGGAACCATTTTCAGCATCCTGCTAGTGACCGTGATCCTTATGGCATTTTGTGTCTACAAGCCCATTCGCCGTCGGTGACAGCTGAGCGACCAAGTTCTTCCACAAGTATTGGGGGAAAGTATAAATTGTGTTGCACATGGGTCATTGGAGAAGTTGGAATTAGAACTTCACCACTTGGAAATGACCTTCAGTCTGGACAGTTGGTAAATGTGAAATGATTTAGAAAAAACATCCATCTGGCAGTTATTTTTTTCCTAACACTGTAATGTAAATAACTGACTCTGCTTCTCGGTGTTTCTTTGTATATCTGGCTGCACTTAACACTTGTTACAAGGACCTGAGGCTACAAGTTTCAGTATAAAGATGGGAAAACAGCTAACTATGTTAGTGGTGGGAAAACCACACTGGAAAGGACTCATCCCGAATATTGGAAAATACTCATAAGTGGAAGACTTGACATGTAGACATTTCGTACTTGAGAACCATTTGGTCACAGTGGGGTTAAGAGTCACCCGTGTTTTTAGTTAGATTGAGCTGGCCTGGAATGCCCTGGTTGCAAAGCAGTGTCAGTTGTGGGGAACTTAGGCCATCGGTCCTCGTGCCACATCTGGGTCTGCACCCAGATGCCCCTGATGAAGTCAGGCCGCATTAGCTAGGCCTGTGACCATGAGCACCCTGGGGCTGGAAGGCTCTGAGTTGGGCTGATTACTGGTTGGCCCATCTGAAAAAGAGCTCCATCCTGCTTAAATACATCGAGCTCCCTGGGGCTGCACTCAAGCCTTTCCAGCCCCTGGCCTAAAGCTTGTGGCAGCTTTTCAGATTTGGAATCTAAAAGAAACTCAGCAGGAGCTCTTTTTAGCTGTGGGTGGGGAGGTCCTCAACCCACAAAAGTGTGTGTTCATAGTAGGAGGCTGAGAGGCAGGTGGATGTGTGTTTACACAGATTTCATCTCAACCTTGAAAATGCTGCTGTTTTGCCCTGTTGAAATGGATTGTTTTTTCCTGTTGAAATACTTTCATACTTACAAAGTAGTTAACAGTATTTATTTTAAAGGTGCTACGTTTAATTTGTTACTGAACTGAAATGCTTGTCTTGTATTCCAGTCACCTCACTGATGTGTGTTGTTTTTTGTTTTGGTTTTTTTTTTTAACAACCCGCACTGAATGTGAAATAACTAACGTAGGATACTGTGACTATTGGACATCAGGATTTTGTGTGTAACCCTAACATTGAGCCACTGAAATGTTCACTGTTTTGTGGTTTTGAGCAAAGTGTCAATTAAAATTAAAGTAAAATCTTACATGCTATTTGACTCCTAGTGATTTATTTTCTAAGCGTCTAAAATGCAGGTGTGTGTTTGCATCTGCTCTACTCAGGGAAGTGCTGTGAAGTTGCATTTTAAAATTTATATATGTGAAGTAAGACAGTTGCCCCAAGGCAAGGTATTATTTCCGGAGACTGAGCTGTAAGTAATCTCTCAGGCCAGGCCAGGGGTCTGAAGCTGGATTTGTGTCCCCGCTTCTTCAGAGCCTCGGTTTTTCACCTGCAAAGTGGTGCTATACACACCTTATCTTTCTTAATTATGGTGAAGATCAAACACTGTGAAACCAGTGGTGACAAGGGTGGGGTCACCACCTTTGGCCTGTCCCATAAAAAACCATTGTTACTGACGGACTGCAGGGAGGAGCAGGTGGGATTCTGAGCGGCTGGCACTGACAGCTAAGTCCCAGGAGGGCACATCCCGACCTCATCTGGAATGCCATATTTTGATACGCTGCCTAAAAATTTACTGGCATTTTTAGGACTTGAGAGGGAAACAGTGAAAACTTGGTAGGCCCATAAACCAACCTTGTAACCTGCTGTTTGCCCAGTGATAACTAGGCAGCTTACAATAGAATCACGTCCCAATTTTCAGAAACAACCTTGCAATAGTTATTCCATATACAAATCCCAAAACCCAGCCTATGTCTTCATTCCAACATTACCATCTGTTCAGCATGAAATTTCAATCTGAAGTCAGACACAGAGTAATCTTTGTAGAAAGAGGCTTATTACAGAGATGAGTAAGGATACAAACCTCAATTCTGGGAGAGAGAGAGACAAAACTCTACTGAAAATTTTTATGCACCAGGACTGACCACTAATACTTTTGAAGTACCATTATTTCCTTTACCTGTGTCTCTGGGAATACGAGGTTGGGGGGAGGCAGCCAAAGCCCCCTAAACTGAACTGTGCCCAGAATACCCATCGTGTACCCAAATGAACGTATTCACTTCATTTATACCAACCATAAAAATGGCTTATCTTAGTATTAATCTTAACTTTGTTTAAATTTGAGATGAATAAATCTGTTGAGTGCTGCTTGGGATTTGGGGGCTCTGGAAGTCTTACTAATACTACATTTTTTTCAGCTGGACCCCAGTCTGAATTCTACACTTTTCCAGATGTGGGCGTAGTTTGGACTTTGAACCCCAACACTTAGCTGCACTGCAGATAGTCCTGGGAAGCAGCTGTCGTGCAACTTGCCTTCCTTGAGGTCTTCGGCATTTAGCAGGAAACCCCTGGTTACAGTAAGTCTGGCCATCTCTTCCCGGTCATTATTAAGAGCAGACCTCCCTTCCTTGAGAGGCCAACACCATGTTACGTATGGTGTGTTCAGCTTGCTCATGGAACAGAGTATCTCAAGTGCTTTGGCTCCGTTTCCTGCTGGTACTGCACCACCTCAGCTTTAATGAACCTAAAGGTGAAGAAACTGTTATTTTTTTTTAAATTAGGTAATCCCCAGTTATTGCCTAAGCTATTGCCTCTTGGCCTAAGGCGAATGAGTTTTCTTCACAGTGCCCCACTGGCTCAGTATTGTCTACTTCCCTCCAGTGCAAAGCAGCTCCTTCTCATCTCCCTGGAAATACCAAGGCCACATTTCTGGAGCCCAGATGTTTTTCTACTGGTCACTGCCTCCGTTTGTGTTTTTATGTGTCTTTTCAAGATTTTAGATTTTTTTTATTTAAGAGAGAGAGTACAAGCAGGGCAGGGAGGAAGGAAGGGCAGAGGGAGAAGCAGACTCCCCACTAAGCAGGGAGTCCAATGTAGGGACTCGATCCCAAGCCCCAGAGATCATGACCTGGACTGAAGGTTTAACCGACTGAGCCCCGATGGCACACACCCCCATCCCCATTTCTTGTTTAATACCAAAGTAATTGGGTGTAGGATAAATCTGGAAGCCCTAATTATCACCTGAACTTCTAAGATCAGCCTCACAGAGCACTTCAGCCTCAGAGGGGAGAGCATCTTCAGTCCCATGAGCGATCTGAAGTTGGCACGGCTTCCTGGACTCCAGAGGAGCCAGGCCACCTCCAGCAGGACCACTGCAGTTTCTCCCAGCAGCCCCTGTGCTGGTGGGCTTTTCAGTTTCTATGTGAAATGAGCAGCATGGGGCATGTGGACTATATGACCCTGGTGGGGAGGCTGAGAGGAGCAGGTCACCTTGGTAATGGACGCCAGGTGGCACGACGCATTCTCCTGTTGGAGTCACATATGTAACAGGGAGTGTGGGGACATTCAGCGACTAGAGAAACCCCGTGAAAAGGAACAAAGACTCAAAGGCTGGCTAGGATACTGTCCGAGCACCCTCTCGGGAAGCAGTCTTTATTTGCATTTTAAGAGAGTGAACACATAGATGAGAAATGCTGCAACAGATGGACAGAACGCTCAGTCCCTTTTTAACCGACTTCCCGGAGAGTCCCCTTCCTCCGGAACCAGGACAGTGGAATGCAAACACAGAAATCATGGCTGGTTCACCTCAGGGAGTAAACGCTGCGGCCTGATGGATTCCCAAGAAGTGTCTTCACTCAGGGTGAACACGGAGTAAACAGAATGCCAAGCTGTGTGTTGGAAACAAATATGACCCCGCGGTATACTGGCCGTGTGTGTGCCCAACAGAAGGAATTCTGGTGGGACCGTGACTAAAAAGGCAGGTGGTTATGTGGAATCCAGAGCACAATCCTCTGTGACTAAGAACATTTTACTGGCAGCACTAACTGGAGGATACGGATGCTAACTGCAACGTAGTTTCTGTCTCTTCCCATCCTGAAAGCAGCACAGCAGACAGGAAAGAGACAGGGAGCTGAGGAGGCCACTGTTACCAGGTCATGTCAGTCAGCCTGTGGGGACGACCAGATGGGCCAGAGTGAGGGCGCCCTCGGCTCTCCTCCCCAGGGTTCTTCTGTGTGGTGTGCAGTGCTTATTTACAGAAGGGTCAGATAAAATCGTTAAACTACTAAAGGTATCCAAAAAAGGCCTGAGAAAATCTGGTTAAAATGTATAACCTTGTATTGCTACTGATGGGAGTAGTTGTCTTTAAATCTTTTAAAAATAATAAAAAGATTCTGTTAAAAAATATATTTATCCAGAAAGATGTTGATTTGAACTCTAAAAAGCAATGCAGAATCCTCATTTTCCCTTTTGAATACAGAGCTTAATATTAAGTTCCGCTTGGAGCTCCCTTTCTAACTACAAGGCCACCCCTTCTTTAGTGAGCCTAGGCCTGTAGTGGGGTCTCCCTTGGCCTCTCCGTGGCAATCTGGTCACTAGGGAAGGTGCGGAACACACCTAGTTTGGTTCTGCGCTGTCTGATGTTTTGGCCAGCCTGCGGCCTCCGAGAACAAGCCTCAGGCTCTCCTAGCTGTTCCTTCGGGGCCAGGATTAGCTGCCTTGGATTTAGCCTGGAGGATCCTGCTCTCAAAGGAAGTGCCTTTATAAATTCAAATCAGACCCCTCAGTGTGGAGTGAGGTGGTTTGAAACTATTGGTAATTTTTAAGGCTAAGGCAACATCCGTGGTCATTTGTATATCCTAATGTGATGCAAATAGTTACACCTAATCTAAAATGTATCCTGTACATGTCTCCTCTTTGACTCTAGCGGGGGTGGGAGGGATGGAATAAGATGGAGATGGAGGAGGAGCAGTGAGAGTGTCCTAGAAACCCTGTATAAAGGTAAAAACAAAAGAATAGATCAGCACAGACTATCCATTTCTTTGGTGAACTGTAAAGAAGTGTCTCATAAATTCTCATAAACCACGCTCTAAAAAGGCTGCTGCTCTCATATATAAAAGCACCCTGACTCTGCAATAACTTGTTTTGTTATCACTCCTTGATAAAAATTAATCTACAAACTTGCGGGGACTGGGGTTTTTGTCTAAAGCTGGTAGTAAAAACGTGACCTGCAAGCCAATACATCTAATGGAAAGTGACGATGCTCTCCTCCCCTTAGCCCGGAGATGGGGCCTGCTGGTCCCCAGCCCCTCCCCGGGGGAGTGTCATGGGTGGGCCTGGGAGTCCCTGGTCCGGCACCTCGGCAGAAGGAAGGGCAGCTGCTGTTGGCTGCATGCATGCGAGGTGCAGTCCCTCGGCCCACACTAGTGATGCAGCACTCGCGTGCGGCCCAGAACCTCTGCTTTGTGCAGCCTGTGAGCAGAAAGGTCTATTTCTCAGTGAGAGACAGCTGTAAGACTTGTTGGAGCTCCTCCTCCTCCTCCCGGAGCCGGAGCTCCCGCTCCTCCAGCTCTTTGGCAGAGAGCTCCATGGCCAGCTGCAGGTCGCTATCAAAACGGCTCGTCTCGCTGGAAGCCCCGGGGCGCAGGCCTTCTGAGCTGGTGAGGAGGCTCTCCTGGATGGCCCTGTGGGGGGAAAGAGGCGGAAAAAGGAAACCAATTACCAGTATCATCAGGGCTGCAGCAGCACCTACATTTAACTGCCTGCCGAGAACGCACCATACTGGGCACTTCATACACATCCCACAGGCAAGGTGCCATTCAGTCCCCTCTACGTCTGGAGGCAGAGTGCTGTGTACAGGTGAGCAACTGGGGCTCAGAGAGGTGAGCAAACCCGCCCAGGATCACCCAGCTGCTAAGGGATGGGGTCAGGAACTGAATTTGGATCTATTTTAAAGCAAAACCTAAGTTTTCTTTCAGTGGGCTTTCATATACGCCTGGAGTACATAAAAATACTCCATAAAATAAATCTTTCCAGTCTTTACCCTCTCCTTTAAAAAGGTAATCTACTCATCCCCGTATCTGTTCCCCAAAGCCTCCTCATTCTTAAAACTATCTACTTCCTGCTAAGGGCATCTAGACCCTGTGAGCATATACTCCTTGCAGAAGATCACACTGCTCAAAAAGCATTTACTGGGAGCCTTTCTGCCAATGGCACTGGCCTGTGGCTAGTCACCAACTGGATCAACACTAAGTCCCATGTCGGCCTCAGTTTAAGAGTCACGCCAGTCACCTCTCATACTGGGCGTCATAGGCATGTGTCTGGCCGATCCCTCCATTCGAAGCTGGTCCTGAAAGTTCCTGCGAAAAACAAACATGATGGACATGAATACCTCCTAGAAGAAGGAGGCATCATACTGATAAGGCGACGAAAGCAACAAGAACAAAATTTTAATTTGTTTCCATGTCCGTTACTGATAACACCACATGAAAAATGAACAGAAACTGGGGTGATCTCAAAAACGACACCTAAATGTCAGGTGGAATGTGGTACACTACCCTGCTTAACGGCCAGAGCCTCTCATACTTGACACAGAATCTATCAAAAACAACCTTGGGCAAAGTTTAAATGAACAAGGCAGGTCATTCTTGTAAAGCAAGGTGACAATACATAACTCAACATTTGTCATCTTTGACTTTGGCCACCCCCCCCCCACCTTGCAAAATTTATGATCAACAAGGTTTATGCAGATACTGGGCAGGGGGGTAGCAATGAGCTCACTTGCAGAAGGGGAAAGTGCACTGGAGGGACAGTGAGGTCCAGGGGCTGGGCTTCTCCCAGGAGACCTCCCAAAGGGAATATGCTGGCTCTGGGTGTGGCCCTTGGCCCAGCAGCTTCAGAAAACTGAATGGTTCCAAGAATGGATTGATGGGGAATGGAGGAAGGGAAGGGCGTACACTGCCCAACCTTGGAGTCTTAAGAATAAAACCATAATGCCAAAAACCGGAGCTTGGACGCTGGAGTGTGGGTACCACTCTCAAACTTTGGGGGGCCTGTGAGTTCAGGGGCTGGGCCTGCTTCATCAAAGAATCCTCACTCTGCAAACATGTGCCAAATGAGCGATGGAAGGAAACAAGGAACCAAGGAACAAAGAGCAGGAGCCCAGGACACCAAAAGGTGGGAGACACAGAAAGACAGCCCACCACAGCAGAATCAGAAAAGCACAAGAGGGCAGGGTTGGAAGGACTTGACATTGGGGGAGGAGGAGCTCAAGGCCTGCACTGTCCCAGGCAGGTGAGACCTGGAGGAAGAACCATCTGAGGAGACCAAGGGCACCTGTTCTTACTCTGGTCTGCCCCACCCTTAGCTCTACCCTTTAGAGTCCCTGACAGTTTGGGATTATACCCTTTGCAACAGAGTAAAACACAGGAGTAAAAAACAAACTTAACAAACAAAGACTCAACCACCATTTTCATCACACACTGAGCAACCACAACACAATGACTGGTCTTCCCTCGGGAGGAAGCTAGGATTCAAATCCACATGCCTTCTTACAAGACGACCAACATGTGGACAATATTCCAGAAAAAAACAGGATGGGGGAAGCTAGCATGAACCTACGGTTTCAGTACTAGCATATCAGATAGCATGCTCTGAAAACTACGTGATTGTGGGCTGTGTGGGTGAACCTGAGGAGAAGGAAGTCTGTCGGGAGACACCCTGTGAATGATGCTGACTTGGGCTGTGCACATGGTGTCAGAGAAGCAGCTTTTGGGAAAGACCAGGTGCAGAAAATAGGACCTCTGTGTACACCAGAGAATATGCCCAGCTTGTGATGTCCAGTGAGTCTCACAAGTCAGCTACAGCTTGAACCCTCCCGTGCCCTGCCATTTGTTCCGCTAAATGCACCTGGCTCCTGCTGGACTCCAGTAAACTCTGCTGGATGGCAAACTGCATTAGCTCATAATCTTCATCTTGTAAATGCACATTTCTGCCATTGTCTTGAACGTGGTAAGAGTCTGGAATTTCAAATACAGACTGATCCACCTCAAAGTTTGTGACGTGGGAAGCTGAAACACAAAGGGTAAGAGTCTGGTGCCTGAATCAGCAAAATAAATTTCCACTTCAAACTTAAAATTTTAAATGTATAAAAATTTGTTCAGTTAAAAAACAAAAGGATTAAAATGATTAAGATCTAGGTTTGCTACTATGTGAGAGAGATTTTGAGGAACAATAACCTTGACAGAAAAGTACCAAAATATGGCCTTTTTCTTTCGGTCTTTTTCTTTAAGTAATAAAATTAACTCATGGTCATAAAAAAATAAAGATCTCTGTCTCCCTACATCCTTTCTCTTATTTCCAAAGTCCTGAGGTAACCAGTGTTCCCTTGCATGTCTTTTGAGAAATGTGGTGTGTGTATGTGTGTGAATAATACATAGTCACACCAAGGACTCTTTGTAGTTTTCCTTTTTTTACTATGAAATACAGTAAACATATAAAACAAAGTAAGATGTCTATAAACTAAACTAAAAATGATAATAAAACGGGGCACCTGGGTGGCTGTCGGTTGGGCATTCACCTCTTGGTTTCGGCTCAGGTCATGATCTTGGGGTCATGGAATTGAGTCCCGCACCAAGCCCTGAGCAGGCTCCGCATTCACCATACAGTCTGCTGAGATTCTCTCCCCCTGCACCCCCCCTCACAGCTTACACATGCTCTCTGTCCCTCTCTCTCAAAAAATAGTAAATGCCTGTGTATCCTTCAACTAGTCCAAGACACAGAACACCATTTTACCCCAGTAAAACAGACAAAACAACAACAACAACAACAAAATCAGTTTAGTTTCTATATACTACCAACGAGTAACTGGAAAGTAAGTAAATAATCCACTTACAGTAGCCTCCAAAAGATAACGTGGATGGATGGCAAGGAAGCCTGAGGAAATTTTGTGAAGTAACAGAAATGCTCTACATCTTGACTGTGGTGGTTCTGTGGGTACACACATTTGTCCAAAAGCACTGAACTGTCACACTTAAAGTGGGAGCATCTTACTGTATATACAGTACACCTCAATAGAGCTGGTTTTTAAAACTATGCTTTTTTTTTTTAAATACAAGTGGGGTCATATTCTGTAAGTTCTTACACGGACTCTCAAAGAAATCTAACATTTTCATTCAGTGCAGAGATCTATTTCATAAGATACTCCAATGTCAAACTGAATAATCAGTAATTAACTGGATGTGTGCTTTTTTTTAAAACCACAAAGCCCAACTTTTTTTTTTTTTTCTTTTTTTACCTGTATCAGCCTGGGTCCCTTCCACGTTTTGAGATCCAGTTTCTTCAGCAGTGCTACAGCCATTGACGTTTCCAAATGTAATCCGTGCATTTAAGACATGAAACAAGGGAATTTCTAACAAAATAAAATCTTTTATAAATAAATTTTACGAGAATATAATAGCCACCATTTACTGAGTGCCTACTGTGCTTGTACACACCAAATACATTAACATAACTACCCTTCCCAATATACAGATGGGAGAACTGAGATTCATAGAGGTTAAGCAGCTTTTCCTAGATCACAGTGAATAAGCGATTGAGCCCGCACTGAAGAATGTGTCACCAGTATGCAACTATCCGAACTGTAGATTCCTCGCAAGTTCTATGTATTGTGTATACGATTATGCATTCCACTACAGGCCCTAAAACATACTTAGGTATCAAAGATCTTGGTGTCAGAGGTCTTCCTCAGAAACAATCTAATTTGATGCCTAAGTTAAGTGTGACATGAAAACAATGAATGTTTTCCATTCATTCCCAATGACACTTCTTTAAGCCATATTAAGCTAAAGGATCATTGTGACCTCCTCCATTATGTGTACTGTCTGCTACTTTTGCCTAAAATGTTCCAGTGCCAGGGTGCCGGGTGGCTGAGTTGGTTAACCATCTGTCTTCAGCTCAGGTCATGATCCTGGGGTCCTGGGATCAAGTCCCACATCTGGTTCCCTGCTCAGCGGGGAGCCTGCTTCTCCCTCTCCCCACCCCACCTCATACCCCATCCCACTTGTGCTCTCTCTTGCCCTCTATCCAAATAAATAAAATCTTTAAAAAACAAAAAAACATTCCAGTGCCCTGAAGCACATTCTGTCACCCACAGAAATGGCCAGAACCTGCAGGTGCTCCTGTGGTTTAGTAGTCAGTACCTATTTTGACAGGAAATCCAGGTGGGAATTCCAGTTTGATGAAATCTCTCAGCCGTGCAAAATGAGCACTGGTTCGGGCCATGAGATCAATGATGGGAATGACCTGCTCCACAAGAGAGAGCGGAAAGTCCTCACACATCCACAGCGTCGCTTTGAATCTGCAAGACGAACCAAGATAAGAGTGAGGCCAACACCCCCAGACAGGGAAAGTGAATGACTTGCACGCAGCTGGTGAGACAGCACCAGCCTCCTCCTGAATGCAGCCTTCCCAGCCACCGTACTTCTCTTAATGTGGAGCCGGGAAGGGACTAGACCTGTGCGGAATTCGCACGACTATGAGATCTGGCCATCAGGAGAAATGCCCAGCATGCTGACCTCCCCCTGCAGCAGCTGGAATTGACAGCAAGCGTGAAGGAACTGAGCGCTGGTGGATCTTTCCACTGGATCAGCTGAAGCTTGCTGGCAGTAAAAAGTACAAGGAATTCTTATATCCCATCTCTACTCCATTTGGAAAAGGGCTAATAAGAAGGTGTAAAATCTGCTATTTGCTTTTCTCAGATAAAGTAACTTCCAAATGATGTTTAAAGGAAAGGGACACAAAAATGACAACACGACCCCACAAAACAGTACAACTTCTGAAACAAGAATCCGTGTGGCCGCTGAGCCCCTCTTACTTTTGCGTTCTAATCGTCAGCTCTTTCGGCCTTCCAATGTCCCGGTCCTTCAGATCAAACTCTTCATTAAAGTACTCCTCAGGCGTGATGGCCGTGGGGTTGTTGGCGGTGGCGCATTCTGTAGTGAGGTCCTGCCAAGCCAGAACTCAGGGGAATCAGAAATGCCAATTGGTGCTCATAAGTGGAGACCTACGGCAGTCAGCCCCAGAGGTGGATGTGTTAACCAGCTACGGATCAGGACGTTCTAGTCTTTTCCCTGCCCCCCAACCGCACCCCACACATACTTTTTTTTTTTTTTAACTAAGTTATGACACAGAACAAGAAAATCCACAAAGGTGTGAGGAAATGACACAGGAAGCCTAACGGGTCTCTCCATGTCAAACGTTTCTCCACTCTCTTTAGCATTTTTATCTCCTGACAGGAAAAAAGAAAAAAGAGAGAAATGGCTGAAAGCACATAAGACCTAGGAGACCTGGAGCTTACATTCCAGCTCTGTCAGGCTCTTGCTCGGGACACTGGAAAGGGAATCTCAGTTTTCTGACCCTCTGACAGCCATTATACCAACTCCACAGAGTTCTCATAAGGATCAAATAAGAAAATGTTTGTTAAGGTGCTCGGTTAAAACAGAAAGTCCTGAATCCTTTCTAAGTTTGATGAGAGAGAAAGCACCTGAATTCCACAGTCATGACCCTCCTCTAAAATCTGTATTTGTAAGACTCATTTATTTCTCTTCCCAAAGAGTATCTCCGATTTCAGTTAGGAGTGCTCTTCAGCCTTGCAGACAGAGAGGCCTGGTCAGGTTCAGTAAATGCCATCACAGCACAGCAAAATCATGTCCTTTCTTGAACCTGAGAGCTCGCTGCTTCCACTTACCCCTTGAGCACCAAACTGGTGTTCCACAGTTCCCAGCAAAGATTCCAGTGGGTTCCTGTCCGCTAGAGAAGGGAGGAAAAGTTTAATGTCTACTATTATGCCTTACTTATGCCTACAGAAAGAGATTCTCGTCCTATTTTAAAGTTCTGGATCCCAGCTACCTACATTAGGAAGTCCATTTATGGGCAGGCTGGTAAAATTATCTATAATAACCATCAGCTAATTTATCCCTCATAGGACATTTTTTATTAGGGTCTCTAACCTAGGTTAGCAACAGTTACAAGAACTAGAGTAGAAAGAGTTTGGGTTTAGGAGTGAGCCTGGGGTGGGGGGCCAAAGAGTTCTCATCTGTCAAACCAGAATCCTAATAACAGCAGTGGTGGTGGAGGCACCCAGCAATGACCATGTCCTTGCCACACTCTGCGGGAACCTTCCAAAGGTTCACATGAAGCAACTCGTCCCATCCTCCCAAGCACCCCCATTTCACTGCTGAGGAACCTGAGCCCCAGAGGGTAGGTAACTTAAGGCCAAACAACAGGCCACTGGTGGGGCTCGGATATAACCACTGTGCATTGGCAGAGTTTGGGCTCATAGTCCAGGTTCTGTCCAGATCTTCCATGGTACGAGTTTGGACTGACTCGCTCATTCCAGGGAGAACTAGTCTCCAATACCCTTATCTACCTATATGTCAGATCCAGCAACTGTTCTTCAGAACACAAGCACAAACCCTCCTGCATGGCTTTAATTCCACTTGAAGCCAACTATAGGTAATATCTTCAAAAAGGGGCCAGACAGGGGCACCTGGGTGACTCAGTGGGTTAAGCCTCTGCCTCTGGCTCAGGTCATGATCTCAGGGTCCTGGGATGGAGTCCTGCATCAGGCTCTCTGCTCAGCAGGGAGCCTGCTTCCTCCTCTCTCTCTGTCTGCCTCTCTGCCTACTTGTGATATCTCTCTCTCTCTCTCTCTCTCTCTCTCTCTCTGTCTCTCTATTAAATAAATAAATAAATAAAAATCTTAAAAAAAAAAAAAAAAAGAATGGGCCAGACTAAGGAAATTTTTGTAAAAAGGAGTTAGGGTTAGGATGAGCCTGACCTGACCACATTCAACCCAAAACTTAATGAAGCCAACAAAGGCTCTCTCTCTCTAGGCCAAATAAAAGGTGGGGATTACCTTTATATCTCTTTTTCTCTTCCTCAGTCAGATGTTCTGTCCGGATTTTGGTTATCACACTCACATTGTTTACTGTGTAAACCTTGAGAGACGTGTGCAAAAGAAAACAGTGACACAGGGAATCAAAACTCAAAAAATAAGCATAGCAAGAGCAAGAATGCTGAAGCCAAAAAAAGAAAAAAGAAAAAAAAATTCAGCAAAATAAAAATGAGAAATGGTTGACAATCATTAGGATCCTTCAGAGAAAAATATATAAGCTATCAACTTAGAAATGCATCAGCAGTTAATTTGCATCTCTGACAGTTTTAAATACCGAGGAGTGAACAGGTACGGCTGCAGCTTCCCGCCTGCCCTTTGTGTTGCTAAACACCCTCGAACAAAGGTCCTGAAATTTAGGCCTCCCTGCTGGATTCCTATCACGCTATTCCTATCCCAAAGCCGCATCATGGGCTTCTGTACTATCTGTGGTGATCTTATAACAGGACTGACTTAGACAGCCATCTGCTGGGCAGAAGGAAAACGGAACAAACACAAGGTTCGCTATACCCATTAAGACTTAACGAGGAAACTGGCAAGTCACTATTTAAAAAGCTATTCCCTCTACAGACAAAAAATTATCCTCACCACCAGTCAGGGCTCTTGTTCTCAAGGCCGCCTGAGGAATGTGGGGTTCTGGAAGACCAAATCTCATGGTAAGCGGAATTAACTGTATGTGCCCTCCTGCATGTATGTGGATTCCTGCAAGATCAGAGACTAGAGGAAACCCACAAGCACTGGAGCGACTGTGTCTAAATGCATCTTGCTGAGCATGACGTTAAGTGTCTTTGCACGCTCAGAGGTCACCAGAGGATCCTGCAGCAGCCGACTCCGGCCCTGGGAGCCAGCAATCCCTGCTAGACTGCACAGCTACAGAGAAGCCAGCAAGCAGAGCGCTCCCGCTGACAAGACACCAGAGGCCCCGACTGACAGCAGTCTCCACTCTTGACAACTGCATTCTTAACGCACTGATGTCATGCGAGTGGGCTGTCAAGCCACTGGTTACAATTAGGCTGACTACGAAAATGAGAGATTATTAAAGCTACTTTACTTTTTTTTTTTTTTCTTTAAACCCACTCAGGTTATAAAAAAAAGATCAACATGCAGGTCTAAGTCTAATCCTTTCTTTTCGTCCTTAAAGAATTAAAGGAACGGTCACTCCCCGGGGGGAGAATGGCACCCAGACTCACTTCTCTACAGGGCTGTTTCTCTTTGGCATACCTAGGGGCCTCCTCGGGACATGCTATTCTATTTTCTGAACGTCAGATCAGATACAAATCCAAGTTGAGAGACGCCAAGCAGTACGTTATTCCCCAGAGCATCTCCACGGCAGAGGCATGAAAACAATCTGAACAGACTCCTCATTTGCATAGAAGCTAAATAGCTATATTAAATCTTATTTTAAGAGTTTCCTTTTACCTTTGCTTCGTAACCATTAACAACTTCTGCTTTATCTGTCCTCCAGCCCCAGAATCCGGATTTAGTTCTGATAAAAAGTGAACACCACAAATTTCTACATGTACAAAATGCCATTCAGATTTATCCCTGCCGCCTTTATAGTTTACTTCCCCCAGCTTAAGGCGGTGAAGGCCACTTGGTGAATATGGTCCTACTGTCCACAAAAGGATGCTCTTGGTGACAGATGGCTTACGCAGCCCCACCCCCTCCCACAGTTATTAATCAATTCGCCTCACCCCTGGCATAGAAAGCCTCCACTCTTGGCTTCTTTACAGAAACCGCCAGCACAGGGGACAAGCGTGGTGACACTGACTAGACAGCTGTCCTAAAGAGATGAAGATGACCAGCATCCAAGGGCTCGCCACGAGGTGCAATCTGGGTCTGAGCATTTGTCTGGATCATCGTAACTGTGGGCATGGACGTCAGCAGCTCTGTCCCCATGAGCAGCCGCATCTCAATCAAGGAATTCATAGAACAACAAGGCACAGACCATCCTGCTCCTTCGGAGAGAGGAGGTGGGGCAGGAACTCATCACTGTGGCGAGCTGCTTGGAGAAGCCATTAATGCCTGAAAAATGGCTTGGGAGTCACATGTTTTATCAGGTTTGGTGCAGCAGAGGAAAGGATGTTATGTTAAAAGCAGTTTTTCAGCCCAGGCATTGATTCCAGGTCTGTGGAAATGCTTTTAAAGTAGCCCAGCATTCCAGCGGCCACTACGGCGTTGGTCAAGGTGCCTAAACACCGTTATTCCACTCAACATACTTCTGGGTAAAAATGCATTTAGAGCCAAGAGCGGCCAAGAGGCTGTGGTTCATTTTCAAAGCAGCTCATCCTGGGAAATACTACCACTCAGAGGGGAGCCCTGATCAGTCTGGTCCGCCCTTTTGTCTAGGACATCACATCCTAGCTCCACTCCGTCACGTCCTAGCTCCATGCTGCACTTGGCCCCATGCGGAACCGGCCTGCCTGCTTTCTGCTCTGACCCCAGAGGGAAGCGGGACATCACGCAGGAAGCTCCGGGAACTGGCAGGTGAGCCAACTCACAACAAAGATAGAGGCCATTTGCATCTCGTGTTTCCAAATGGCTTTATTAGTCCAAATGGGGTATGCAAAGTTTTATGCGTACATTACAGCCCATCAGAGAAAGGAGGGACCAGAGCTTCACCTTTCCAATTAGTCCACAATGAAGGAAGCATGACCCATGGACAGAGAGCGAGAAACCCTAAAGGGATTACACCAAATGCTAGCTATCTCCACTTCACATTTCAAAAACAAAACTGAAATCTAGGGGCCAAGGGGTTAGGGTCCACACTGAATCATAAACCCAAGTCCCCTCTTAGTCATCAAGAACTGAAAATCAAGACAGTCCTTTTAGTTAACAGATTCAGTCCTCGGTTCCTTGTCTTTCACCAAGTCACTTGATATTTTGGCCTGGGGAGAACTGTTTCCTGGCACACAGTCTTCCGAGGTACCAAAGGATGACTCAGTCTGTTCTCTTTCACCCTGCGGGCCTGCTGGGGAAACGGAGCTGCGCCGTTCTCCCTGGAGACTGCCATGCTGCTCAGTTCTCTGCATCTGCTTGGCTTGCAGTCCTGGCTGCTCCCCTTCCCTTTCCACTCCCCCTCTGAGAGCTTGCTTATTAAATTCAGCGTCCTAATTTAAAACCAAAAGTCTAATAACTCCTTGGCTCTTCATTAACTTTACATGCAGAGGCATCTGAAAATGACAGGGGGACACCAGCATCCCCTCTGCCATTTTTACCTCTGTCGAGACTGCCATACCAGGGGCCACTGAGCCAATGCTGCAGCCTGGAGGCTGCTGAGCCATGCAGAGAAAGGCTCTGAGGGTGGCAGGGAATGTTCTGCTTAAGGTTGGCAGAGCCTAATCTTTCAGGGACGAGACCAACCCAGACTTCAGCCAGAGGGTATATAAGGGAGGCCAAAAACTCATGCAGGAAGCAAGCCTCAGGCTGTCAGGAACAGATCAGAGAGAGGAAAGAGACGGACAAGAACGACTATCGCAAGAGAGCACACCTTCCAGATTCAATCAAACACACACTCCCACCTCCAGTAGGAAGGACATGCGTGCACCATTTCTACCACTCGAGTGGCTCCAAAACTCACTAACTGCATATTTAATTCTGAGCACCACCAAAAAAAGCACGTCTTCCAGAAACCCTTTCTCCGAGACCCACTGTCAGTTGCAAAAAAGGAGGTTAGCTTGAACCTTCTGAAAACCTAGTAACCATATGACCATCAGATGTGCCTTAGTCCTCCACACAAATGGAACGTGCCCTCATATACCATCTACCTTCAGCCAGTAATCAGCACAATCTTTGTAAATTACACTTAAGAGCACTGACTCTACCAACTCTGCCAGTGAACTAGAGGGAACAGCAGCTCTTCTCATGACATCTTAGGATTATGGGGACTTTAACAGCATATCTCAAGATTCACTCCTTTCTTTCTTTCAAGGACACCGAAATCCGGAGAGACCAAGCCACCTCCCCAAAGCCACATAGTCATTCAGGGGCCCTGCCAATGGCACTCAGTTCTTCTCACCCCCATCTCCACAGCTGGGCTGCAGCAGGGAGGGCAGGCTCCTCTCTTCCCAGCTTTCCCAACAGAACCCTAGCTGAAGGAGTCTGCAGAGGTGTGTGCCAAGCCTCAGGGGTCTGCCCCAAACCCTCCCAGGTAAAGTCACAGTCAGTCCCTAGTAGACAGCTATCACCTGGCAAGGCTGGTGATGGGGCGCTGACCCCGCCTCACAGGGGTACCACTACCCAAGCAGCAGTGGTATCAGGACACCACACAGGCTGACACTTGGGTTTTCTCTTCTGCTACTAATGGATGCCCTAATTCCACTGCTCTATCTAAATTCAAAGAAAGGGGCATTTCAGTCTTATATTTGACTCATCAGAAAATTCTCAGTCTTACAAACTAATTTTATGGAAACAAAGAAAAGAAAAAGAGAGGAAAGGTAGTATATTCACTAAAAGTAAAGAAAGCCTAAATCCAGGATAATATATGTCCATGTTATCTCAGGTTGTGCTGCTTTGGATTACAGAGAGCTGGATGTGACATCCTAGGCAAACACTCAGGGCTCTCGCAGACTCCCTCAGCTCAATGTGTTTGGAGGTAAAAACACTCAGGCCAACAGCTCTGACAGCCTCTGCTTCCCCTACACTCAAAAGCTCTCCATGCCTCTCCCGGTCCAGAGGCAGATGACCAGTTCTCGTCCAGGTTAACCAAGGTACAAACCTCTCCAGAAGTTTCTTCTGGTAGAATCTGGAAAAGAACCAAAAACTCCTCCAGACTTTTTCTCTAAACTCTCAGGCCTCACAGGGGAAAAGGGCCACATTAAACGATACAGTAAGTGTGAATCTGACTAATATCAGTACAACCACAATCAATACTGGGTCAATTCTAGCTTCCAGAAACTCAAAGCTCCATGGTTTGGGACTAGGGAGTCTTATGGATCCCCAAACACCAAAACAAAAAATTCAAATAAAATCCATTAGAAAGGGCCCATAAAAGAATATGAAGACATTTCTCCAAGATGTAACCAATGTGCTGTAAAAAATGATCTATGAAAGAGGAGGTCAGCTATGGCTTTTACTTGGTTAGAACAGAAAGCAATGTTAAAACTCACTACTGTTTATTATGCCGGAATAGAAAAATCCCAATCCACCCATAATCTCCGATTCATATCTACATGCTACTAAAGATAGCCGTAAAGGGATTAGATGTTAAAATGCAGAACCAAAATGCGTACCTTTCAAAAGCAATATTTTTAGTATCGAGGCTGGTGTTAATGACTGGGCTTGTGAGCCGCCTCTCAACTTCCCTGCCTTTTGGCTTCATCAAGTCCAGAGTGAGGCGCTCCATTTCCTGGGAAAGGTCAAAGTGTTCAGTGGTGACCACTCTGTCATCATGGTTGACTTCCATCAGCTCCGCCCGGTTGTCTGTTAATGGAAACAAGAGCGTAACCAAGCGCCAGGCAAAGAAGACACAAAAACAAGGAAGCCTCAAAAGTTAAAATGCATCATCTCACATTTTTCCCCTCAAGTGCTATCAGATAAAACCTAAAGACTATTGATTATTCACTACCTACTTACATGGGGATTATCTGGCCAGTTTCCACAACCCATAGGCCATCTTCCTCAGAACTGCAGGCATTAAAAACAATTTGCCTTTTTCATTGGCAACACATCTGTGTACACAACTTACAAATATACAATTTACGTAACTAATGTAAATTGTTTATGTATCATGCTGGGCTGGCAATACAATTTTTCTCACCCTCCATCAGGAGGATTACGCCTGCTTATTGAGTGAATATAAGGAGATACAAGACAGTCTCCCACTCAACGCTCAGGAATGTGGGACAGACGTATGTCAAAAGGGTAACAGTATTGGGTGGTAAATGATATGGGCAAGAGAATCAAGAGAACTACCCAAAAAAGAAATAAAATTGAGGAATCGAGAGCTGTAAAGTTAACAAGAATAACCAAAAAAGAAAAAAAAAAAAAAAGCCCCAGACAGGGTCAGATAAAGTATAGGAATGTAAACACATTTTGATGGTCAAAAAGCAGTCTGTAACTTATCGTGAGCAGTGATTATGAAAACAGAACAGAATCACTCACCTTCTCCCTTAAATATAAAACTACGCCTCCCTCTTATCCAGCTCATGTTCTCAAATCCCAGCAATGTGATATCCACACGCAGCTTGGCACCACTTTTCCAAATGCGACACACATCGTTCGGGCATATTCTGGAAACCAAGGGCACTAGAGAAGAGAAACGTACTACTGAGGAGAAACCTGAGGGCCAAGCAGAACATGTAGGCCCAGGAAATCAGGATTGGGACTTTAATAAAAGGAAAGCAGTGGCTGGATAGTGACTGTCAGACAGAACTGGGCTTGGCTCCCACACTGAGGATCCAGGTGGTCACTTTTAAAAAACAGACCTTCTGTTCTATAGCTCTTTATAAAAGTGTAGGTGTATGTCTTACCCAGAGAAGACCCTGAATGAATCTCCCAGAGGTATTTTCGATCCCAAAACTGAACATCTCTCTGTGACCGTCACCACCATCAGGGCTATACAGCGTGTCCACCTGGCCTTCTCGCTCACATATGCTGCTCTGGCCACGTGGCAATGGCCTGCCACATTGCCACATCCACCCTTCAAAATATCAGACCTAACACAGCTAAGATCTGTGGCTGCTTCGGCATTGGAAAGAACTTGTAAGGTTTCCAGAAGAACCTGAAGTTCTCTTCTGTTACATACTTTTTACTTCATTTAAATGTTTCATTACAAATATGACTTTTTGCCTGACAGAAAAGTCGGTGCGAAACAGCTGGGAACCTGGGAATTAAGAGCTGTCATTAACTGATCTACAAGAAATAAAAGTGGAACATCTATGAAAATTACTGTCAGTCAACTTGCCTTACATAAGATTTTAGAGAAATACATCCATTTTGTAAAAAAACTAAGCTATCCCAACATTTGTCTCATCTTCTTCCATAGAATAACAAGTTTCAATGAAACAAGTTGAACCACATAAGGAAATGAGTAATAAATTATGGCAAATCTACTTACTAAAATTTTAGCCATTTAAAAAACCTAATAATATGGATAGGTATCAGCTCTAAGTGACAAAAAAAGGAGACAAAATTGTCTATATATTATCTTTACAGATGCTCAAGAGAAAAATCCCTATGTGTGGAGGAGAAAACTAGAAGGAAAATATCCAAAGCATTAACAGTAGTTGCAATTAAGTGGGACTATGGGTGGATGTTTTTTCTTACTCTTTCCTACACATTTCTTAGATTAAAAAAAATAATAATACATTCAGGGCGCCTGGGTGGCTCAGTCATTAAGTGTCTGCCTTCAGCTCAGATCATGATCCCAGGGTCCTGGGATCAAGCCCTGCATCGGGCTCCCTGCTCAGCGGGAAGCCACTTCTCCCTCTCCTACTCCCCCTGCTTGTGTTCCCTCTCTCACTGTCTCTCTCTGTCAAATAAATAAGTAATTTTTTTAAAAAAAATTCTGTTTTTATAAAGGAAAAGTAAACGTATATTCAGGCTCTATAATTTTGGAAACAAATAAAATACAAGCCCAGAGCCACTCACCCCAGCTGGTGAATTCCCATTTCATCTGCACATAGAAATCTGGAGCCTGAAGGACAAAGGTTTAAAGTAAATGATCCTTAGCACTATTAACCGAACACAAACATGGTAAGGGTTAATGAGGTTTTAAGTTTGGGGGTTTAAGTTTGGGTGGGGAGGAGGAGAGAACACAGAAAATAAGAAACATAAAATGCAAACCCATCAAAGTAAAGGCTTATTTTATAAGCAGGCTGTTATTTTATCTTGATATAAAATATGTCTAGACAGTTAATAAAGTTAACTAAGAGCAACAAGGTTAGAGAGGGATAAAATCAAATCTGATTTAGGACTCAGTCTGGTTCCTAACAGTAGCAGAAAGATGAGCCTAGAAGATGGGCCTAGGCACTGCCATGCAATGTGGGTAACAGGCTATTCTGAACAAAGAGAAAGGAACATCAATTCCATCTATTCTATCTGCCTGACTGCAACAGGTTTTGTGTGCTGGGAAGGGCTTCATATTTACTGGACCTCCAAACCAGAGGAGGCTGCCAGACATCACCTCTCCAAGAAGTTCATGTTCCCTCCAGTTAACAGACTTCTGCCCTCATTTTCCTCTTAAACTTTGAGAATTTGGCTTTATAAAATTTTACACCACCAGAGAAGTCCTGTTTAGGATGACTTTCTGATCTGCCCTGAATTCTTACAGAAGGTTCTTGGAGAGCTTACTTAAGAAATCCAACAGTTACCATCCAAGAAGAGAAATGCTAGAAATTCCAGATGTTGCTCTGTTCCCCCTCTGTCCACAATGGCTTTGTCGTGGTTTTTACAGAAGCAATAGAAAGGAAGACCAAGAATCTACCCTAGAGTAAAACCAGGATTCCAGTGATGGGCAAAGGCTCTCCGAGGGGCAGCAGACAAGGGGGTGGGGGGTCTTGTTTTAAAGAGCCAATGTTAAAAGACAAAATGTCAGCAACAACATCTGGTGCCACTGGGCACACAGGTCATTCACAGGCTCTAACTTCAAGCAGAGAACACAACCCAATGCAGGTTACTGGTATGGCTCAGTACAGGTTAAAAAACAGAAAGTCCTTTATATGGCATTTTTAAAATGAAGAGTGACCCCACATTAAGTCAGTTTCTGGTTCACCAAGTGGGCGAATGTGTTTTTAGTTCCTCCTCCAGTAAGCTAGACAAGAAAACAAGAAATCCCCTTGATCTTTCGCACACTCACATACAACGCAGCTTAAAAACAATGCAGACAACTATTTCATATTTCATGGAAGGTTTTGTGTACTCTGTGAAAAATGAGTAACTCCAGGAACAATTTTGCTTGAGTGTCAGAGAAATACATTTTTTAAAAAGTGTGCTCAGATAATGAGCAGTGATAGTCTTACAGCAAAGCTGTTCCTTTTCTCAACAGAGCTGTTAATTTTTCTCAAGAAACATGTTGACTAAAGTTGTAAAGTGGATTTATCTAGCAAATATCTTTGGAGATATTTTGGGAAGCTCCCTTATGTGCTTAAGAATAAATGACACGGAAATTGAAGCACTAATACTTTCTTGTCTCCCACAGCTCTGAGAACATTCCATGACTGGCTCCTAAGATGGTTCTTGCAGGTAACAAACACTTTCTGGAGAAGGGCAAGCATGATGCAAAACAGTTCATGAGCCTAGAAGTAAATGTTCACAAAAATGACCTCCAAGTGTCACAGAGCCCATACACTTTAATTCACAGATAACGGTCTTTACGGGCCCGAAGCCAATGGCTGTAAATAAATTAAGCCAATGGACCGGAAGTCACAAAATGCTAATGCCTAGAGTCAACAAGTGGCAAGGAGAAGGTGCATATACACTTCAGAGCCTCAAGAAGCCTTGGAAATCCCTGTACAGTAACCAATGCTCATCGCAGTTTCCTCAAGATGACCTATGCTCAGGGGCACCTTGCAGGGGCTCAGTTGGGTAAGTATCCAACTCTTGATTTCGGCTCAGGTCATGATCTCCCGGTCGTGAGATCGAGCCCTGTCTCAGGCTTCATACTGGGTGGGGAGCCTGCTAAAGACTCTGTCTCCCTCTGCCCTCCCCTGCACCATCATCCCACCCCCCGCCCCCACTCACATGTGCGCACACACTTTCTCTCTCAAAAAAAAGATGACCAATGCTTAGAACGCCACTGTTAAGAAAACAGTTACCTAGACAAATTGCTTCATGTCCATTTGTGTTCAGTTACAACTCTTGAGCCGCACTTAGAAGGGTAGGTCTAGTGACGGAGAAACAAAATCTGTGAAAGACCTCATACGTTTAATAGATGAGGGATAATGCCCTTTGGTACTAAATATACCATATTTACCATTCATTACATTCATGGGAAGGTACATGTGGACATCTAACTGTGTCTCTCCAGCTACGCTGTCAGCATTTAACTCAAATTATGGCATTGCCACATTTTTATGGATACCTCAAGAATCTTCTGGAGCAGCTCAGGAACTCCTTCAAGGGCCATGGATGTGTTGTGGTAGTCCCGATGCTGAAGAACAGTATACACCATCTCGGGGTCACCGGTGCTCACAGCCTCGTGTAAAACTGAAAACCAAAAAGGTGAAACTTCATCATCCAGTAGTCTCATACTCTGACAGACTCCTAAGCTAGTTCAAAGAGAGTCTACAGATCAAAGACAAACATTTTCTTCAAAGAGCAAGAGAGGCTACAGCCCCACCTTACTTTTACAACCATGACTGCTTATCGCTAGCTCTTAACTGAGTGAAAAGAAAATACAGGGCTTGTAGCCTCTTGAGCAAGCCGACTTCCATCCTCCCCCCGCACCCCCTCTCTTACCACTGGTTCTGAAATCCTGACAGTGTCTTCAGAGAGCAGGCTTTACCTGTGTGATCACACAACTGGGGTTATATGTGGATCGGGCAGGTAGGGCTTATGTGTATCTTTGCTCAGCCAACACAGAATTACTCTGACCAACAGAGAGCTTGCAAGCAAGTGAAATGCCAGGATATCCCTGGAAGCAGCCATAATTTCGTTTTCATTTTGCCTATCCCGACAGATTCACTGCAGTTACCATCACATTCCTCAGGAGGAATCTGGCCTCCACACTCATGTGCGATGGAAGGGTTTGCACTGAGAGCTGCTTTCTGGATAGGAGTCGCCCTCCACTGAGGGCTTCTGGCCCAGGACACAGTTCGGACCATCGTGCCGCAGGTCTCTGAGGCCCGCATCTCCTCGCCCCGGCCCCTACTCCCAAGAGAGAAAGAGTCTTAATATAAAGATAACTTAAGGGCAATTATCATTGAGACTCACCTTTATTCAGAAAGAGACACTGAAACAAAAGGCTTTCAGATATTTTCAAAATATACTTGCCTGTCCATCCCTCACGATTTTCTTTCGTAACGTCTGCTTTGTGTCGGAGCAAGACTCTAGCAGATTCCAAATGTCCCAAAGAAACAGCAAGGTGCAATAAGGTTCGACCTCGTGGATCCAGAGCCTCCACATTCTGTGAAGTAAACACTGGCATTTATGTAACTGTATATATTAAATCAAAATAAATAAATGTGTGAGAGATAAAATTTAGTATAAAATGGAAAATTGCACGTTACAGCAGTGTGTGGAAGAATGAATGCTTGCATGCGGGAGTGGCTGAAATATTAATTTGAGACTATAATAAAGATGATGGTTACTGAGTTCCTTTTTCTATAAAGTGAAGCACCTAATAAACAAACACTGGCCGTAGGCCTCGGATCATCAGGCACATCTTATGCCCTCCACAGCACTCAAATGAAGACTAAATAAAGCCGGGGCTTTAATGAATGCAACCAGCCCATGACACAGAACATGGGGGATTTCTCAAGCATGTATCAGGTCTAGAACAGGAAGTAGAGGACTTGAACCAAACGGAAAGCATAGAAGAGAACTGGGGTCAGACTAAAACTACATTCTCTAGCTGGGTTCCCACCAGAACGCCGCTCTCATTGCTCTGTATGGAGTTCCAAGTACCCTGAAGCAGCAGCATCCACAGGTCCTACAATGAGCACGATTTGCCAGACAGGGACGTGGACATATTTATAGGTAAATGTGAGAAGAGACGCATGCCACTGTTGTCCATTTCCCCTCAAAGGTTTTCTTCCCCATGCTAGACACAGCCATCTGGCTTCTACTCTTCATTCCTATTCCCGCCCTCCTTCCCCCAACCTGCGCTGGGTGGAGAGCCAAGTGGCAGTTTCTCTGGTTTGAACTCAGTCTGAATGACCGAAGGCTGCCTTCCAAAGATGGCTCTGAACGTTCTTCCAAGGACACAATAAACCACCATGGGACTTCTAGGATGTAAAACGTTTTAAGTGCTCAACTATTTCTCAGGAAATGTGCTTTTATCTTGATTTGAGATGCTAGTTGTTGTGCAGGCATTAACTGCAGCCTCCAAAGATAACCAGAATGTTCCACTTACTGGCCACATGGGAGAAAGGTAAGCAGAACTAAACAGCTACTGCCCAACAGCTACTGAACCTCCCTGTTCTGCAAAGGGCATCATGGCTACTGTGCAGTGAAGACAGGAACTGTTCTTGAGGAATGACAGCAGTGGCCAAAGACATTCTGCAAAGCAAGCACACGTCCTCCTGGACCAATCCCAGGCATCAGCGTTCTCTCCGGCGCTGGAATACCAACACATCTCCTGGAATGGGGCCCACAGCACCTCCCAGGATTCCCTGGCTTTCCCCAAGGGCATGGCTTGTCCCTCTCACCAGAGACACTGATCATCTTCCAAAGGGCTGGATCCAAGTCTCATATCCCATAATCCCTAACTTCCACAACCCTGGTCTCTAATTTGCATTAAACCATTATTTTTTAAAAAGTAATCTAGCTAAAGATTTTTACCTGAGTTGCAGTTTAGCAGGAGAGACATAATTAACAAGTTCATTACCTCTTTACATATCTGTTATATAAACTGTTTCCTCACCTAACAAGTTCAGTCTATGGGAAAGGTGCTGGGTTTTAGCACACTGCCTGAGAGAGAGGCGATGTTTAATGATATTTGTCAAACAAAAAGGGCAAATTCTATTTTATGCAATTCACACCCCAGAACAAAACTAACATCTCGGACCAAGGACTGACACTCAAGCTCCTGGGCAACCACTAGATATGATGTGTAAAATCAAAGCCAAATTCATTAAGTTGTTGACTTTGTCCTATTTTTTTGGACCATAGGAAAAAAACTTACGTATGAGCCAGACAGCAGCAACATTTTGTGTTGCTGACTGTAGCCCTTCGGAGCCTCTTGTGCCTCTTTCTCATGTGAGAATCATGTGAAAAGAGAGAAGGAAGGAAGAATATTATGGGGACTGGGATTAAAGACGGTGGATGATTGAAGTGGCAATTAGCAAAACAGAGGACAGAAAATCAAAAAAAAAAAAAAAAAAAAAAAACAACAAAACTGAAAATTGGTTCTTGGTAAATATCAAAAAAATTGACAAACTTTCAGCTAGATTGACCAGGAAAGAAAGAGAGAAGACTTCAGTTACCAAAAGCAGGAATGAAAGAAGGGATGTCTCTACCAACTCTACAGAAATACAGAGTATTTAAAAGGAATACTATGTGGGGTGCCTGGGTGGCTCAGTGGGTTAAGCCTCTTCCTTCAGCGCAGGTCATGATTTCAGAGTCCTGGGATCAAGCCTCAGCAGGGAGCCTGCTTCCCCTTCTCTCTCTGCCTGCCTCTCTGCCTACTTGTGATCTCTCTGTCAAATAAATAAATAAAACCTTAAAAAATAAAAAATAAAAGGAATACTATAAACAACTGTATGCCAGCATATTAGAGGCTTAAATGAAAGGCACATATTCCTAGACAGATACAAACTGGCAAAACTGACTTAAAAAACAGAAAATCTGAATAATTTGTAACAAGTAAAGAGACTGAATCAGTAATGTTTGAACTTTAAAAAAGCTCAGGCCCAGATGGCTTTGCCGGTGAATTCTGCCAAACATTCAAAGAATTAATACCAATTTTTCACAAATCCACCCCCCCACCAAAAATAGAAGATAAAGGAAAACTTTCCAACTCATTTTATGAGCCCGGTTTATCCTGATAATAAATACATTGCCAAAGAAAGAAAACCACAGACCAATACCTCTAATGAATATAGATGCAAAATCCTCAACAATATAGTAGCAAAACAAATTTAGCAATACACAGAAAGGTTATTAAACACCAGGACCAAGTGAGATTTATCCCAAATGCAAAAGTGGCTTAACACCTGATAATTACTGTAACGCATCAAATTAATAGAATAAATTTTTAAAAACACATGACCATCTCAATAGATGCACACGGTCTGAATGTAGTCTGCATTCTTATGTCGAAATGCTAACCCTTCAAAGATGATGGTATTAGACGTGGGGCCTTTGTGGGGGGTGCTTAGGTCGTGAGTGTGGGGCCCTCATGAATGGAATTAGTGCCTTAATAAAAGAGGCCAGAGAGTTTGCTAGCCCCACTTCCACCATGTGAGGACACAGCTGGAAAGATCCTGCTATGAACGAGGAAGAGAGCCCTCTCCAGCCACCACACTAAATCTGCCAGCACCATTATCTTGGACTGAGAGCCTCCTGAACTTCAGGAAGTAAGTTTCTATTGTTTATCAACTACCCCCTCTATGGTATTTTGTTACAGTGGCCCAAACACGGCTAAAACAATGCAGAAAAAGCATTTAACAAAATCCAACACCCCTTCATGATACCAAATAAAAATAAAAAAACAAGAAGCACTCAACAAACTAGAAATAGAAGGGAATTTCCTCAAAGAGCATCCCATTATGAACACCACAGCTAACGTTATCTTAGCAGTAAAAGACTGGATGTTTTCCCCCTAAGATAAGGAACAAGCCAAGTACATTCTCTTTTGTTGCTTCTATTCAATACTGTACTAGATGTTCTAACCAGGGCAATAAGGCAAGAAAAAGAAAGAAAAGGCATCCAGATTAGAAAGGAAGAAGTAAAACGATTTCTATTCATATTTTACATTATTTTATACACAGAAAATCCTGAGGTATCCACTAAAAGGTTAGAACTAATGAAGGAGTTCAGCACAATTGGAGGATACAAGATCAATATACAAAAACCAATTATATTTCTCAGAGAACAACCTAGTGGTTGCTAGCAGGGAGGTGAATGGAGAGATGGGTAAGATAGATAAAGGGGATTAAGAGATACAAACTTCCAGTTATGAAATAAGTAAGGCACAAAGATGAAAAGTACAGCATAGGGAATATAGTCGATAATATTGTAATAACATTGTTTGGTGACAGGTAGCGACTACACTTATCACGGTGAGTGCTGAAAAATGTATAGAACTGTCAAATCAATATGTTGTACAACTGAAACTAATAGAACATTGTATGTTAATTATACTTCCATTTTGAAAAACGAAACAAAATCAATTGTATCTCTATACACTTGCAACACAACTCAAAATGAAATTATGAAAACGATTCCATTTACAATAGCATCAAAAAGAATAAAATATTTAGGAATAAATAAAAGTACAAAACATACAATCTGAAAACTATAAAGCACTGTTTAAAGAATTTAAGACCTAGATAAATGGAAAAACATCCATGTTCATGGTTCAGAAGACTTAATATTCAAGATGTTAATACTAGGCAAGCCTGGATGGGTTAAAGCCTCTGCCTTCGGCTTGGGTCATGATCCCAGGGTCCTGGGATCGAGACCCAAATCGTGGGCTCTTTGCTTGGCAGGGAGCCTGCTTCCTCCCCTCTCTCTGCCTGCTTCTCTGCCTACTTGTGATCTCTGTCAAATATATAAATTAAAAAAAAAAAAATCTTAAAAAAAAAAAAAGATGTTAATACTCCCCAAACTGAGGGCACCTGGGTGGCCTAGTCAGTTAGGTGTCTGCCTTTGGCTCAGGTCATGATCCCAGGGTCCTGGGATAAAGTCCGCATTTGGCTCCCTGCTCAGCAGGGAGTCTGCATCTCCCTCTCTTCTGCCCCACCCCCCTCCTCATGCTCTCTTTCTCTCAAATAAATAAATAAAATCTTAAAAAAAAAAAGTACTCCCCAAACTGAGCTACAGAGTCAATGCACCATCTATCAAAATTCCAGCTGACTTTTTGTAAAGATTGACTAGCTGATCCTAAAATTCTTAAGGAAGTGCAAGGAGACCAGCATAGCCAAAACCATCTGGAAAAGAGCAAAGTTTGAAGACTCACATTTACCAAATTCAAAATTTAACTGTGTACAAAGCTACAGCAATCAAGAGTGTGGTATTGGCAGAAAGGCAGAATCAACAGAATACAATTTAAAGTCCAGAAATAAACTTACACATTTATGGTCAATTAGTTTTCAGCAAGGGTG